TGGTTTGAGTTATTGAGTGAATGGCTCTGCACTGCACAAGGAATTCCAGTAATAAAAGGCTCCTTCCCAGCCAATGTTACTGATCATCCACCTGGGGCAGATGCTGGGAGACAGGAACTGACACTTCTGCGGGAAAATGTTGTATCAGAAGAGCCTGAATGATGATATGAATATACACAGAGATGGGAGAGGGGCCAGAAAGGGGAGGGAGCAGCCAAGCTTGCAGCCTTTGCTCAGGAAGGTCATTTATAGGTACATCACTGCTATATCCTATGATGATAACACAGAGCTGAATGATTAGCTCCTGCAATCGTTGCAGCAGTGAGGATGGCTCGCAGGCTGAATGGTAAATCCAAGACAGAATTGATTCTGGGCTCTTCTCGCACACAGCAGTGCAAAATGACAGCATTCCCCTGGTTCTGATGTTTTATAAAGGTCATAAAATGTTAGCCCAATGCAGGGCAAAAGGAAATGAAGATTTGATCTGTAATCTGCTTCTTGTAACACCAGAGGGCTGGTGCAGATCTTACCAGAACACCTGTTTGTTATTTTTATTAAATTCAAGAAACAAATGTTACAAATTTGTCTTGGATTTTACCATTTTTAGCATTTCATTTGCTATAGGGTGAAGTTGGGCTGAAGTGTACTTGGCTACATGTTCTTGTAGGGTTCCTGCACGTTGCAAGGTAGAAGTGTCTAAAAATAGATATGCTTTGAACTATGACAACGTGTTGCTTTCCTCTGTGCTCTCTTAGAAATAACTCTGAACTATTATTTCTACTCTAGTTCCAAGCTGTGTCATTCAATTAACAGGAAAAAAAAGACAAAAAGTAATACTTCTTATGATGTATAAAAATTCTGTATAATATTTGCACCAGAATTTACTTCTGTGTATGATTCTCACAAATTTGAGTGTGATCCTTCCTGGGGACTGCTAGTCCCAACTCAGAATCTGCCTCAATGTTTTCTTCAGTGATGGCCAGATCCTAAATTATTTCATGTACAAAAGCATTAGAGATGTACTTCAGTCTCTGAATAGCATAATTTAGGAAACTGCTTATTTTTTAATAGCTAAATAAAATTTGATTTTTCATTTTTTTCCAGTGTTTTTCCAAAGCTACATGAAACATCAGGAAAGTACCAGGAAAAAGGAAACCAAATGCTGATGTGACTTCTCAGATAAAAAAAAAAAAAAAAAAAAAAAAAAAAAAAAAAAAAAAAAAAGATGCTGTGTCTACATTGGTCCTGTTGTCCCTGCACAGAGCAGTGAGCTCTGTGTGCCCAGTGGTGCCCTTGTTTGTCTCATGGTATCTGTGGCCCTTTGCAAATGCTTTGATATTCCTTCCTGGCTCTCCTGTGTTTGGTATACAGTTTCCTGTAGTCTTTCCTCACCCCTAGGCTCTATTTACTGCCCTTTTCCAGGTGCTGCTTTGCCCTCACTTACTTCCCATGCATGCCTTTCTGTGCCGAGGTATTTTTGCTTTCCTTCCCCTCTGCCACACTCCAGAGCAGTGATCCTGCTGCCAGCTGACTGGCCAGGCTGCAGATGCAAGGTCATGCTGTGAGACAACGAGGCTGCCAAGTTAGAACATCACCCACTGCATCAGAGCACAGCAGTTTGTTTGTCAGATCTGCTGCCTGAAGTCCATCAAGGAACAATCGTACTCCCTGTGCAGACAGTGGTTTGCTCTCTGGGTAACTACTGAAGCCAAATTTAGGATAATACAAAATCCATTTATTTCTATACTGCAGTGCCCATTTGGTTCCCAAACTGGGATGTTCCAACTCATTTTGAGTTTGCTCCCTTATGAGGCCGCATCATCAACACTTTGAAGAGATGGGTATTTCCATACCTAGACTGTGCTGCCCTGTACAGCCACTCTTCAACACGGCAGAATGCACCAGGGGAAAACAGGCAGGATTCTTCTGAAGATCTGCTGAGAAGGAAGTAGAGATATGGAGCAAAGGCAGTGTTAAAACTCTTAAGCAGTGTGAGAGGGGATGAGTCTCAAGTGCTGCCCATGCCACACAGCTGTGAGAGGAGAAGAGGGTTATTTGCTTCTGCAAATTTAATACTTTGCCTCTGTTTTATCCAGAGTTTTAACTGCTCTGCAGCAGTGGAAAATGCTAATAGTAGTTGAAAAATGTTAAATTATTTCACAAAAGTAAAAATACTTTTTTCCTCATTTTTCAATGACAATTGGAGCATTGTGCCCATTTTTTGCCCAAATTGGAAAATTTATTTTCCTCTCTGCCATACCTTTCTTAGCATCTTCTTCTAGCTCCACTTTATTTTTAGAAATTAACAATTGAAAAGTGGGAGGAAAATGAGATGGGAAAAGCTTAAATATTTTGTATTTGCATTTGAAACAAACCCATAGCTAGTTTTTAATGTATTATTTAAAACCAAGTGAAAAATCAGAACTTATTTATTCACGTAGTCTACTGTATTACAGATTTCCCCAATACTTGAAAAAAGTAATTGCTATTTGTGGGACAATGAAGGTGAGATAGACAAAAACACCATTTTGCTTGATAAACAGCAACTCATAGGGAGGAATCCAAAGTGAAAGGCTCAGTATTTGTCCTTTTAACCTACCCAAAAGCCTGTGACATCAGAGTAAACTTCTACAGCATTGGCAATTTCCTCTGATATCCCCAGTAAAGCAGAGGAATTGTCTGGATATTTCACTACCAAAAATAGACCCCACTGTCCAAGCCCTCTGGGATTTCATTCCTTTGATCTCTGCTGGGAAACCACTGAAGGTGTTTTACTGCAACTGCCATTCGGAGGAGTTAAAAAAGAACCGTTTTTATTTTCCTCCTTGTTTGCAGCTGTAAGCAAACTTACTCCCAAACAAAATAACATTTGAGTTGGAGCCTCTGTGCAAGGCAAGGGTGGAGCAATGCAGATTATTATATTGCTTTTTACCTTTCAAACTATCAGGAGAAAACAGGAAACAGCAAAAGTCAAAGCTATCTTATCTAGAATGCCCTAAGAACTTGGTGTTTCCAATAGTGTCACTATGCTAAACTAGCACAGTTTTGCGACTTTACAAATCAAAAGATAGTCCAATTTCCAGACACTCTGGCCAACATATGTGTTCCTTCTTTATTTGGCCCAGAAAATGAAAATGTGCAATTTACATATTTCAAAATATGTCTCTGCTTAATGAAAAAAGAGACAAATGCCCCTGAAAAACTTCCCTGTTGTTTAAATTGAAGATTTTATTATAAAATATACTGAATATATTTTATTACATAATTTTAAACCAAAAACATAGTCTATCTTCAGAATGCTCTTGCCCTGCTTAACACTGACCAACACAATTTCATATTTACTACTGTCTTTTCAGTGCGGATTTTATTCTTTCCCCTCATTTTTCTTAATTTCAACAGTTGCAGATTCCAAAAGGCATAATTCCTATTCCCATATAAATACAGACCTACAGATCCAAATACATATTTTGGGAAGGCAACCAAGAATCCATGCAATATTTTTATAATACATTAAAATGGACAAGCAGCAACAGACATAAAAATACTAGCTGGGCAGCAGACGATCCTTGAGAGTGATGTTTGTGCTCACTCTGCAGCAGGAAGCAGGGCCAGTTGGTAGCTCAGTGGCTGCGATGTCAGAAGGTCAGATCACACACTAGGATTTGGGCTCATCCCAAATGTTGACACAGTATTGAAAGGGGAAGGGAAAGGGGAAGACATGTGACAGTAAAGGACATTGTATTCAGCAGTAAAAGTAGTTTGGAAATATCCATCATTGGGCCAGGGAGAGGAAAGTCCACTATGGCAGCAACACAAAGATTTGTTCTTCTACTGTTGCTAAATATTGAATTCGGCTGGTAATAAGCACCAGATCTGGAGAAGAAGAGTCTACTTACAGTAAATATTCTTTAATATTAATTTAATTTTAATTAAATGTGATTGAATATAGATTCCCATCTGACAAAAACAGAGCCCACCATGCTAAAATTTTGTGAGTGCTATTTGGCTTGGCATGCTTTCCTTCAAAATACTGCCTTGATAGTTAAGGTAAAACTACAGGATCATCATGGAATTCTTAGACATTCTAAATCTGCATTTCATCTTCTCTTTTGATTACATCTCAAACTTGCCCAGTTGGCCCTTTCCCAGCTTTTAACCTTTCAGATATGATCTGCAGCTGCTGGATGCAACAGGAAATGAGCAATAACAAAGAGCACCAGTAACATTTCTGGGAGTGTGCAGCTCAGCCCCAGTTTGTCTGCTCTTGCTGTCCTTTTCCAAACTTAGTCACCATGCTTTCACTCAATATTGCTTATGTAATGTAATGTAATGCTTTTTTCAGCAGGACTGACAATGGAGCCATTCAGCCTCCTGAGCTCTCAGCCTCAGTGTCTCAGCACACTGCACATACATGGATACTCTGTCTGGATGACAAGCAACTAAGACAAAGTGAATTCATGATTATAAATGCTTTCAGTCTTCCTCCTGCTTTCACTTCCTTAAAGACTAAACAAAATTAGGTTGTCTGGAGAAAAAGAATGAAAAAATTACCTCTTTTGTACATGATTCATCTCTGCACATACTAAGCTCACTAGGTATACATTGCTTGTAAACATTTCAATTCAAATTTTAAGGTAGGTTTACAATTACAGGTAAATTTTGGACTATGGTGGCACAGAGATAAGTTTTGTTCAGAAAGAACTGGAAATTAATTAGTCTGCATCATTGTTCCAGGAAGATTCATCCTCAGATAGTCTCCTTTTAAAATTTTGTTATATCATATTGTGTAACACTGTAATAGTCAATCCAGTGACAGTCTCCAAGTCAAACACATTGAAAAATGCCTGAACTGCTGGCAGAACACGAGTCCTGCTTAGTTCTAATCCAATCTGTTCTTTCAAAACCCTTTACAAGTAAGGCAGCTCACAGTATCAGCCTGTCATCCGTGACCTGCCCAGCATGGAACCCTTAAACCTAGGAGACAGAACAAGAACACTACCTGGACAAAATAAGGATTTATTGGAAGTATATATTCACACAAGGTATAAAGGCAATAATTTAAATTGTTTATTTTTTAACAACACAAAGCTACTCCATTACCAGAGTTACTCAGAAATAGATTAGATTTAGGAAAAATGCAGAATATTTTAAATCCCTGAGAATGATGTCCTCTCATTCTTTTATGCACTCCCTGCCCACCCCCCTCCCCACCCTCAGAAAGTGCTGGAAATTTAATTTCCTGCTCAGCTGAACCTTTAGTGCATCACCATCCATTCTTTATATCAGCATGAAATTTAAAAATGCAGGCAAACCCAAGTTCCACATCAAGCTCATCCACACTCAGTGGCAGGCACCCAGTTTAAAATTATCTCCAGTTTCAAGTTGGTATCCAAGCTGCTTTAGGTAAGGCCACTGACTCTGAAGATAAAACTTGTTCCCCTTAAATCACACATGCAAGAAGTCATCTCCTCCTTTTCTTCTAGCTGGACACAGCTGCAGGTTTTTACATTTCATACAGAAGTATGGAGCTGTGAATGCAATGCTTTAAGTTCACTCTTTTTACATCTGGATTTAAGGAAGTTTAGCATCACAGACTTCCCACTGCACATTTCTAGTAATTTACTTCATCCCTCAGCATTTTTTGGTATATCAGGCAGAGAGCTTAAGAATGACAAACTTGGGTAGCAGAAGCATTTCCTCCTATGCAGTGCAAGTTCCATTCCTGAGTTTCAGGAGGAAGCCATCCTGCAAGGTAACAAAGCAGATCCAGGCATAACACATGCAGAGTGTTTGCAATCCAAGTTCAGACATTTTTCTAGTAAGATTGTTGTCTCTTGTGCAAGGATGCAACACATCCATCACAGAACTCCCCTAGCTGACACCTGACCACCAGCATAAGCAAAGCACGGGGAACAAGGATAAACTTGAGTACTTTCAAAAGCTGCAGCTGATACTGGTGCTACCCTGATAGTGGCCAGCTCTTCAGTTGGAGATGGAAAAAAATCCAATAAAACTAAAGGCATAACTCAACTAAAATAAAATTCTTTCCAATATTAGAGGTAGATTTTTTCCAGTGTAATATATAATATCTGCTCCTGTAAGAGCAGAGATCTAGGAATTAAATTATTAAGATCAATTTCAACACCTATGTGCTCTTAGAATAAATAAGGCAAGCTTTTTCTATATCCTTCAAGAAAGCAGGCACACCAGTCTGTAAAGAGAAAGGCAGAAAAGTTATTCTTGCATAATGAAATCAATAAAAACTATAAGCAAGATGAGAATTCCCATTATAGATATCAAGGACTTCAGATACAATTCTAAGATCTAATATACATTTGTCTAAGAAACAAGTCTAAGATCTGGTACACTGCATCAAGCCATTCCTTGAACACTTTGGGAACAAACTGCATTATTGAAGTTTGCTTGTCTTGAGGCTATTCATACATGCTCTGAAACACAGATTATTTGGGGTTTGCTGCAGAAATTTACCTGCTAGGTTGACAAACCAAAGGAATTTGACAGGAATTAAAGTAAGTAAATTAACTAAGACCATTGTCATGAGAGCATCCAATAGTGACACTGTAAATATGGGACCATATAAAAGCTAGGAAGGTTAAAATATCTGTTTCAGAAAAAACTAATTCTGTCCAAAACATAGAAGATGGGTATGACTGCAGTGAATTCATTGTTTGAAATAGATTATCAAAGATCATTGTCTGTAACCTTTCCTTACCTTGGCAGCCCAGTTGACCAACCAGGATGGAATCATGCCACCAGGGTTATCAAAATAGTACATATAGACTAGAGAGGAGAGAGAAGTTACCAAATACCAATTACTCAGCTCTAACACACTGTGACAGAAGCTATCAGTGTGCATCACTGAAGCACCAACTACCACAGTTCTACTCTAAATTCTGCACAAAAAAACCTCAACTTTTCCTGAAGTGAAATGTGAAGTAAATACAGGCATTCCCAGTTAACCTCTGGGAAGCTGACAGAGCCACAACAGGCATTCAGATTACTGCAAAACATTTTTGGCACCCTGTCTTATAAAATAAGACTGTCTTTAAAAGACTAATCTCAAGACAGGAATCAAGCTCTAGGCAAACCCTTTAATCTATACATCTGTCAAACACAATACTTGAATCATTGCTGAGTTAAGAAAATTGCAGCAGTCTCCCCAGCTGAACTGTCTGGCAGGAAAAGAAGTACAGACTGGGGGTGGGATGGGAGGGCAGAAGGAAGTGGTCAGTAGACTATTCTTAACCACCCAGCCCAACTGCTAAATAAAAAGATTCTTCACAGTAGTGCACTGCACTGGACATTTCCAAAGGTTTCATTCATTTTAAAGTAACCCTTGTCTTAAAATTTCCAGTCCCCCTCTTTGTGTGTTTTGCTGATACATACATTCCTGCCTACACAACTTGTCACACATTTTCTTGACCTCTTACCTTTACATCCAGCCTTGCCATCACTTTCAATCACCAGGCTTTGTTTATAGCTCTTAACTCTGATAATACCAGGCTTCTCAGGGCACTGAGGAACAGCCACACTTTTTGCTAACACAACCCAGATCTTCCTGCCATGCACATCCATCTCCCGGCACTCCCGGACATAGACATACTGCATTGCACGTTGAGGAGGCATGTCAAAACAATGTCAGTCTGAGGCATGAGGAGTTGACAAGTGAATTCCATCACAAACTCCTTCAAGTTGTTTCTCATGTCCCTACAGGACTCATCCTGCAGAGCAGTAATTCAGCTATGTGAGCTCTAGCTCTGTGTGGGAAGAGGCACCCACACTCCTCCTCATGCCATGTATATTCATGTAACATGAGAACTGCAAGATCTGAGATCAGCGCAGCAGAGTGATGGAATCGGTCCATTGTTGGAATTCCTGGATGACCAAGTGGCAGAAACTGCAAGAGGAACAAAAACTTGAAAGGATACATCTCTGTTTGAGAGAGGAAAAGGGTACTTCACTTCCCAGTAGATTACTTTTTCACCATCATATGTTTCCTCATACAGTTCTACAGTTGAAAGAAGAAGACTGTTAGATATTTCTAATTTCTACTGCAACAGAAATGTAGATGGCATCAAGAACTGCTCAGATTTCTGACATGAACACGTTTTACATGCAGCCCTGATGTCAAAATTGATATGTATGTAGAATTTTAGCAGTAAGAGATATTAAAAAGTTCTGTACCAAGATTGCTCAGGAATTAAATACACAAAAATAGGTGGCCTGTTTTTCTGAGACTATTTTAATTGGTGGGAAAAAAAAAAACACCCCACCAAAAAAAAAAAACCAAAAAAAAAAACCTCAAAAAAACTCCAGAACATAAAATCAGAACAATTCCAAGGGCAGCAGAGTCAAATTCATTTTCCAACCGTTTGTTCATTCAAAGCCTTTCCATCTCACATCTTCTTCCTCACCTGTGCATGTTTTGCACAAGTCCAAGTCACAAATACAATGTGCCTTTTCACAGGCATGTCATTACCCTTGTAAATTATACTGAATTAACATGGAACTAGGATGAGTGCAGCTTTCTAACACCTGAAGACATCCTACATGAGGGATTAATGAATTTTGGAAAAGCTGTCAGGAATTTCACATGCAACAGCAAACTAGAATCTTGAGCAGTTTATGAGCCTTCATTACAGCCCCTTCAGTCTGCCTAGAAACTCAAATCAGAAGGCTTTTTCCCTATATGACATATTCCCAGCCAGGCTTCTGTTGGTATGCCCTGCAGATCAGCTGTCACCCATGGAAACAGCTTCTCCTCTTCTCCAGCTGCAGCAGTACTGGATGCACCCGGTGTTGTAATAGCCCACAACATTTATGTTTTCCACCAGAGGTCACTGGAGCATTGGATTACCCACTTCACTTTCACTTCTAAACACAGAGATTTCCTTTTTCAAAGGCACCGTGACACTGTTTTAAAGACCCCAATGCAACTGTTATTAGTCACCTCATTTACCTGTGTATCTTTGCAAACACAGGATAAACACACAATACATAAACCACATTCCACCTTGCTTTCACTTCAAACCAGAATACAGTGCATTTTAATCAATAATCTGATTTCATTTGGCATCACTACGCGAGATCACAAGTCCATTCTATCCATAATAAGCACAGCAGCTCCCACTGCTTCAACAGTCAGTTATTACTGTGAAATTGTTGGGAAGTGTGATCTGAGCCAGGAAGGTGCTGCAATCAGGAGCAGCAAGTTTCAGTATTGCTCAGGCCCAACCACTTTGCATCATGCCACAGAAGCACGTGTAGCTCAGTCACTACTCTACAGCTCAGTCACAACTTCCCTGCTCAACTGGCAGCTGCAGCACAAACCAGGCTCAGGATGTCCACATCTTGTGGATATACAGAAGCACGCAGAATCAGTTGCCTTTTCAGCTAAAAAGGCAGCTGCTTCTGCTCTGGTCAGGCTTTTCTTTCAATGCCAGCCAGCGTTCAGCAGAGAATTCTCCTTTGGACTGACACTTGCACGGCTGTAAGAGCACCAAGGAATAAAAACAGTAACACCAAGAGCAAGAAGGCTCTCAATGGAAGTTTTCTGGGGTTTCTTCCTAAATGTGAAAGAAAAAGCCCTGATGAACTGAGGTTACATTTAAAACACTGGCTAGCACTCTCATCATATGTACCATCCCAAAAAACAGGTGGGCTTGTGTCAATTTTTAAGTAGGAAGGAAAGCATTACATTATACATATGCCCTATAAGAGTTAATTTCTGTGAAATGCTGGACTTAGAAACACCAGCACAAGTATAAATTAACAGATGAACAAACCATGGTCAGCAAGGATATAAGTGTCAGATCTGCAACATTATCTAGTTTTTAGTTTAAGGGTGTAGCTTCCCCCAGCAGCTTCCTTTCTTTTCTCCATGAAGGAATTAAAAAAAAAAAAAAGTGTTTATTTAAGAAGCACTCATTTCTGCTAAATGCACTAAAAGACTGCTGAAGTACTCAGCAGAATATTTTACATCCAATACGATAATGTTGAGTTCCACTCTGACTCTTTGTTTCATTAATGGCAAAATGGCTTTTGCTACAAGACAGCTACTGAACATTTTGACAATTAACACTACTTAATGAAGACACCACTCCTTAAATTTGACCAAGACTGACATGAGTTAAATTTATGGGTCTCTGTATCAATGCAGCCACTGGCATTATCAGCTATCATTCACTGTGGAGCTGTCCTCAACCTAACAAACACAATATTTAACAAGTCTTTAGTTTTTAACACTGCTCTTTGTTCAGCAAAACACTTGGACCACTTTTCAGTTTTACTGGCCTGCTGACTTCAAGCATAGGCTTAAAAAAGCAGCCTTCTTTTTAGGATAGGTTAAAAAGAAAAGGATACCCATCTTTAAAATAAATTGATTATTAGATATCCACATCAGCTGAACCCTTACTTGGTTATTGCTGACTTAAGATGTTTTAACACCATATGGATATCCATGTTCAATGCCCTTTTTCAAAGACAACGTTAAATAAACTTAACTAAATTAATTACTTATTTTTCTGTGAAAGCCTGAAGTTACCACATATTCTCTTGATACACCCATTCCTGACTGTAAAAGGTGCCAAGAACAACCCATGCTTTCAGAAAAAGATATTCCATCATGCTCATCAAACTGGTGGAAGCCTGAGGAAAACTTTTCACAATTAGCCTCTGAAATAATCTCCCCAAGCATAAATTTGAAGACTCAGCTGAACAGGGTGCTGGCCATTTGTTGTGACTGTGCTCTCACCAAGGAAGTTTGGACCAAGATGATCCAGAAGTCCCTTCCAACCTGCTATTCCACGCTGCACTGCTCCACTGCCATATGCAAAGATGCACAAAAGGCACAACCCCCATTTTTCCCCAAGACATCCACTAAAATTTAACCTAAGCATTACAACTAGAAGTTACAAGGTGCTCCAGCATAACCAGTGATGCCAATCATATGCTTTAACCAACATGGAAAGAATTCATTCCAAAGGAAATGGATCCCTCCTCCAATCTCTAATGTTGAGACATTAGGGATTCCATATCAGTGTTTACTTGTACATTTGCAGAGCGCAACCTTATCCCAAAAGATATTTCAGTCTGAGCCAAAGTCTCTGGAGGCAGTAACTCTGAAATACCTTTGAGGAAAGTTTTAGTGGGAACAATCAATGTGGACTCCAGCTTGCTTTTACCTAGATGAGCTTACCTTTAACATACTGATCCCACTCTTTTCTGAAATCCAAGTCCATGTAGACATCTACACACAATTTTGGGGGAACGTCAGCAAGGCCACCAAAGATTTTATATTCGTAAAGTCCTGATTGCTGTGGAAACAGAATGAAGAGAGGAAAAGTCACACAGGAAAGGGAAGTACTCTGCATCAGGGAGAACAGCTGAAGGAAGTTAGGTGGGGCACAAATTACAAATATGCTCAAGAGCTGCGAAAGCAAGTGTTCAGAAAACAATATAAGATTCAGTCTTTAACCTCTTGACTTTTTGATCTATACATGAAAGTGTAAATCAAGCCAGGCTGACCTGCCCTGCACAATGGCTGTTCCTTCCCTTACACCAGTACCCTTTTACTTCATCAGGAGTTCCAGAGGGAGCATGTTCACAAACAAAGTCCCCTTTTCATCTCCAGTGGTCAGTGTGGACTAAATCCTGCCCACACTGAGGTTTACCAGAAGCATTAAATTCTTGTGGCAAGTTAGTTATGCTTACACATCAGGCTGGGATACAAGCATGCTTTACAATGTCCACACTTATATACAACACACTCATAGCTGCCTTCAATATTGATCAGCTATTTTCTTTCAGAACGCTGTATGCACTGAAGGGGTGGGGTGCAGGATATCTCCTGTTTTAATATTACTTTCAACATATGGTAATTCCATCTGTGCCTATAGAGCAATGTTTGTACCATTGTTAGTACGAGTTCAGGACTAAATCAAAACAATGAGAGTTCAGGACTAAATTGAAACAATGAGAGTATTTCAAATATACAATGTAGAAATCAAATCAAAGCATTCCCAAGGAAAGGAAAAGAAGGATTATACAACATTCTGTTAGTGAAAAGATGAATTCTCCTCTTTTCCTCGCCTTCACAAATCAACTCCAGAAGATGAAGATTTGAAGTACCATAATTAAACTACTCATCTTCACTGAAGCACCAATCACCAGCTTCAAACCTGAACTATTCAACATCTGTGTAACCCCATGCACTCATCATCTTTGTAAGAGGCATCAACAAGAATTGCTTTCTTACTGTAAATTGCTGTTTTTTTCTCACAAGAAAAACAGCGATTTACAGTAAGAAAGTTAAAACAAGAGTGAAATGTTTCTGTTTTTCTGAGGCATGTCATCAGGAGAGTCAATCAGCTTGGCTGCAATGCAGCACTGAGCAGGAAGGCCAAGATCTATTTCTGCAACCTGCAGAGAAGGTGGAAAGACAAGGCAAAAAGAGAAGACAACAGGAAGAATCATTGCTGCTTTCAGCTTCCTGGACTACTGTTGCTACAGGGAAGTTGCAGTTCAGCAAGAGCTAAAAGCTAATTTTTCCAGTAATGACTTTAAACAAAGACCCTCCTCCTAGACTTCATCTTCTCTTGTAGCAATCTGAAGCTACTGAAGACAAAACAGTTATTTCCCAGGAGTCACAATACTGGACTTGAAAAGGTCCTTTGCATCCTATGTAGTCTGCCCATCCAGCCTAAACTAGGGGCATTGTACATTACACAAAAAAAAAAAAATGACAGACACCTGTAAATGGTTTTTATAGTTTCAAATAGTCCTTTTAGCTCTTTAGTTCTTCTGTACAAAAGCACGAGAGGATGAGGAGGAGAAGCCTGAGCTCCTTTCCATCTCACCAGCTGCATTCATACAATAGCAGCACAGCCACTGCAGTAAGCCAGGCTTTCCCTGGTCCCATGTGCCTGGCTAAATCCAGCCTCCAGCCTCCCAAAGGTCCTTTGCCTTCATTCATGCACAATGCATTTGCAGGTCTGGGCTGAGCTCTGATCCTAAAGCCTCTACTTCATCCACTCTAGCAGGACACCCCCAGCACCCTGAACTCCATCAACTCACTAATTTTTGCATGGATACCTGGCAGGCACCCCAGCCTCACCTGTGCTGTGATCAGTGACAAGCTCATCTTGCCACTGCCAGTCACCACATCCACACTGTAAACAGGAACTATTTATCACTGAAGAGAATTCCAAGGTCTATGAAGTGATAGTTTTTTAAAGAGGCTTAGAGGCTTTCCCCACCTGTGCCTTTAGCACAGCCATGTAGGCTTGCTGGCTTTTTCTAACATTACCATGTCTGAAATGATTTCTCAGAATACAAATACAAAATTGTCATGCAAAGAACAGCAAGGAGTCTGGAAGGAGCTGAGAGGAAACTATGATCACTCAGTTAAAAAACAGGATATTTACATATATTTTTTTTTTTTATGGATTTAGAAGTCAGTACTGAATAATTAATCTGTGTCAAAATGGAAACACTGTCAACCACAAGTCAGTTCCTAAGCTACTAAAGTTCTTTAAAGAAATTAGTCCCCCAAAAGGGAAGAATATTTCATTCCAACCCTTTCTGAACTACCTTCTGATTTTAGAGGTGGAAAATCAGTGTGAAGGGAGTTTTGGAGAGGGGCAGGAGGGGGCGAGGGCTCCTGCAGAGAGGATGCTGTGGCACGGGCGGGCTCGGGAGTCGATGTTTAGGGACCCGCTGCGCTGAGCGCAATCCGCCCGAGGGGTCGGGAGGGCGGCACAGGAGCAGCGGCAGCTCCCATCCAGCTGCTCGGTTCAGCTCCGCGGGGTCACTGCGGCCCGCCGGCTTTGCCATCAGCACTTAATGGCATTACCCGGCAAGCGGCTTCCTGCCAGCCTGCAGAAACCGAGCCCCGGCCACTGCGGGGAACCGCCCCCCAAATCCCCATCCCCACCGCCCCCCGCATCCCCACCGCCCCCTGCATCCCCATCACCACCGCCCCCTGCATCCCCATCCCCATCGCCCCCCGCATCCCCACCGCCCCCTGCATCCCCATCACCACCGCCCCCTGCATCCCCATCCCCACCGCCCCCTGCATCCCCATCACCCCCTGCATCACCACCGCCCCCTGCATCCCCACCGCCCCCCGCATCCCCACCGCCCCCCGCATCCCCATCCCCACCGCCCCCCGCATCCCCACCGCCCCCTGCATTCCCATTCCCACCGCCCCCTACATCCCCGCATCATCACCGCCCCCTGCATCCCCGCATCATCACCGCCCCTGCATCCCCGCATCCCCACCGCCCCCTGCATCCCCATCACCACCGCCCCCTGCATCCCCACCGCCCCCTGCATCCCCATCCCCACCGTCCCCCGCATCCCCGTCCCCACCGCCCCATCCCCATCCCCATCCCCATCCCCATCCCCATCCCCATCCCCATCCCCATCCCCATCCCCATCCCCATCCCCATCCCCGGCCCCGCCGCCCAGGCCGCGCCGCCCGGCCCCGCGCACCGTGTGGCAGCGGCGGTAGATCCGCACGCCCGCGGTCTCCAGCAGGAGCTGCCAGGGCCCCGCCGCGGCCGGGGCCGGCTGGTCCAGCTCCCGGCAGGCGGCCCCGAACTGCTCCTCCGAGAAGCCCCGCGACAAGGACACGGGCCCCTCGGCCTCCGGAGCCGCCATCCCCGGCCGGCACAGCCCCGCCCGGCCCGGCCCGCCCCGCTCCGCCCCGGGGCCGGCCCGCCGAGCCTGCGGGGCCGGACAGCGGCTCGGGGGCCGGGGGAGCTTTAGGGGACAGCCCAGCCTAACCCTGCCCAGCCCAGCCCTGCCCAGCCCAGCCCTGCCCCGCTCTGCCCAGCCCAGCCCAGCCCTGCCCAGCCCTGCCCTGCCCAGCCCTGCCCTGCCCAGCCCAGCCCAGCCCATCCCATCCCATCCCATCCCATCCCATCCCATCCCATCCCATCCCATCCCATCCCATCCCATCCCATCCCATCCCATCCCATCCCATCCCAGCCCAGCCCAGCCCAGCCCAGCCCTGCCCTGCCCAGCCCTGCCCTGCCCTGCCCTATTCTGCCCTGCCCTGCCCTGCGCCGTCCCTTTGGGGTGTTCCCCGAGGACACAGATTGAACGCTATGGGCACGTGTATTTTTGTATGTCTTCGCATTTTGGCAGGCAGTTTTCCTTACGGTCTGTGCATTTGAGAGAATGCACAGAACCCGTAACTGCTGTACAGCTGCTTGGCAGGTGAGTGTGGCCCTGGCCCAGCCAGCCTGGCAGACAGGGGAGCAGCAGGCTCTGGCCCGTGGCCGACTGGGCTGCACTGGGGTGGACAGGATGGAAGGGGACAGAAAACTTTCACTGGGATGAATGATTCCTCACAGACAGGAGGAATCCACTGGCAGGGACACATTTTACATCTTGCTCAGGCTCTGCAGTGGCACCACCTACCACACTCAGCCAAGCATTAAAGCCTTTAAAATGTCACTGTGGCAGGTTTTCTCCCAGGAGCTGTAAATCTGTTTCCATTACAGCTTTATTCTTCTAATTCCTGTGAGATTTTCCTGCTGAACACTGTGTCTTCCGAATAAAACAAGCAGCTCTGAGCAGTGGGATGTCACCAAACCTACTGACTGGCAGCACCACACAAAGTATTTGGTGGTAACCTCTGTGCAAGGCTGGAATCATGCAGTGTTTCTAGCTTCCCTGCCAAGTGGCTGAGCTCTTTGACAAAGAGTTCACTTATGTCAGCTGTCCTTTCCAGTTCCAGTCACTTGGTTTGCAAGCAGAGCATGAGGATTTCTGGCTGACTGGTTTGGACATACAGGCTGACCCTCATCCTTGCACAGTCCAGAAAACTTTTGGAGAGAGCATTTTGGCAGAAGCAAGATTAGATCTCACACGATTCCTTCCAGTATGTAAATCTGATGCCAGAACGTGACCTGTACTATCGTCATAAAAAAATGTCAGTAATGATAATAAATATCTGCTCATATCTTACCTGCTGTCACCTCCCCACTGAGACTGTTTGGCAAACATTTCTGTTCTTTTATTTTTTGTAGTAATCTTATGTGTATTATTATAATTATTAATAGTATTTATACAATAGGTATAAATAATCTGGCTTATTTTTGTTCTTTATTTAAGCATTAATTAAAATGGCATGCTCATAGTGAGCCCAGTTGGCTCTCCCAATATCAAGGCAATACATTTCTTATGGCTGATCCCTTATGAGTAATTTCTTGGCTAAGTTGCCTTGAGTGAAGATGTGCTGCCCACCCAGCTGAGGAGCTGGTCATTAAAATGGAATATGAGGCAATGGCATGGAGGTGAGACTAATTTAGTTTTCCTTGCAGAAATATTTCTTTACTTATGCAAAGCTTTTATCAGATTGCTGTCAATTTAATCCCCATTCTTTCTCTGAAATAGGGCTCAGTAATACTGAAAGAGCTTGTGGCTGTTGTTTGCACAAAGGTGACTTTGACCCAGTATGAAAAGGAGGAGTTGTGAGTCAGGAACTGATCTTTAACATGCAGCAAGGGCATGTGCTTGTGAGATTACATGATCTCCTTGGTTGTGCAAAAGGACTGAAGTGATCACAGCTCCATCTTGCCTATTATTATTATTTGTATTATATGGTTGTCTACATGGCATCAGAAAGTTGGCTTCAGCTGCCTGACCGCTCCCTCTTTCCCCAGCACTTTCATGGAAAAATATTTATCTCACAAGGCCACTCTAGGGACAAAAGCTTTCAAAAAAGGCATTACTATGTGACCTTTTTTCTTGGTAAATAAGGAGTGGTAATTACTGAGAAAGCACAAGCTGTTCTGAGAGTTTATTTTCTGTTTTCATGTATGTTTACGTAAGTGTTATTATTTATCACTTGTATTTCCATTATTTCCATGTGCTGCCGTTAGCTTAGGGATAGAAGCTGATGTTTCAACTCAAGTCCTTTAGAATCTTCACTGCTGGGTAGGCTGGGATGAGTTCAGGACTGATTTTCTACTGCTCTGCCCATCACTGTGGGACAGTAACTGCTGGGCCAGCTGGGTCTGGGAACACAAACCCAAAGGCAGCCTGGATGCAGGAAAATCCAGTCCCACACATGGATCAGGGACACAAATACCATTCAAGTGAAAATAGAGGGTTACTATTCTGGGGCAATGAGGGGGAATTTGATAACTTGATCTACATGCTTGGTGGATCTCAGGCTTCAGGTTAGTTACCCTACAGTGTAGCAGTTATCATACCTGGTTTTCAGCCAAGATTTCTGGTGCGGGAAGGTTTAGCTTTTATCCCCAGTGGTATTTAAGGACAGGTTGGACTGGACTTTTAGCATTTGGTCTATAGAAGGTTTCCCTGCCCATGGCAAAGATTGGAATGAGATGGAAGGATCTTTAAGGATCCTTCCAATCCAAACCATTCTGTGATTTTATGATTCTATTCAGCTGCTGCTGCTCTGAGTTGGAAATATTCCTCAAGGCAACTTGCTGATTTGGGCTGTCAGTGGCATTAATGTACCTAAATCTTCCACCTTTTTTTTAGAATGGAAATAACTCTGTATGAATTCCCCCCTAACACCTAACCTTTCTGCTGCTGAAATCACTGCTGGGTAATCCAATGAATTCTGTGGCATGGAACAAAACCAGGAAACTGGACAACTCCTACATCAGAAAATCATATGTGGCCAGAAGTGAAACCAGTAATGAACACTACATTGATGTTTTCAGGCCCCAGTGTTTGTTTTGGATATGTGTGTCCATATGTGAGAGAATGTTCCCAGCTGTATTGTGTTTTCCTCTATCTGTCTCTGTGTGGCACTGGTGCACTTTGAAAAATTCTTGAAGATGAACTAAAGATGTTGGATTTTGATGAATTCAACTGCTGTGCAGACATTTTTATACTACTGTAATTCCATTTTACTCAGTGCATTCCAAAAACTTTGCAAAACTGCTGAATAGTCCTTCCCTACCATTTATACAATTAGTACATTTGCATTTCTAGTATACACAGCCAAAGCAATTATAAGCTTCTGCTGCTGTTGCTTTTTTGACTGCATCATGTAAAAGCCTTCCTCACAAATTGTTTCATGACTTTTAAAATTTGCAAGAAGATGATTCTTCATCCAAAAAGCTGAGAAGTAACAACAGCATCTCCCATCACAACCATGCATATGTGAGGCAGTCTATATTCTCCTCTCTTGTATGAGTCAAAGGGAAATCTGTTTGTCAACATTTTTAGAGAAAATATATCCTGTCTGCTACATAGCCTTTATATATTTTATATATTCTATATATGTTTATATATATATGTTTTTATTCCTAAGTATTTAGGCAGGGAGGGTCACCTAGGGTGATTTTTACAAAGAATTAGCCCAAAACATGCACTGCTTGGGCTGTCATATGTCATAAATGGCTATTAAATACTGGTTTATAATGGCCTTCTTCTAGAGTTGAATTTAACCCCAAACTATGACTGTTTCTGTATGGAATATCTCATTTCAACAGAGTTCCACCCAAATAGAAGAGGATTCAGAGGGTAGCTGGAGTTCTGCAGTTTTTCTGCCTTCTGATACTAAGTGTTTTCTGCCTTTGGTAGATAGTTTATTATGCTGGACTCCTGGTGTCAGAACCCATCTCTTTCATTTGATCATATTTACTTTTGATTTACATCTTTTAGCCACAGTTTCTGTGGAAAGTAACACACTCCCAGTGCAAATAAACTGGAGATAAAGAGCTGCAACCTATTTGCTTGGCCCTCACAAAAGAGGAGAAATTTTAAATTTCACTGTAGGAAAGAAGGGATTTCACCATTACTTGCATGACCGAAAATGACTCATTCAAAAGATAAGACAGCCTGTTTAGATCTTCACTTGGTTTGGTAAATGCTTATCACTGCCACACCCTCTACTTTCTTAACTTGTTTACATGGATGTAGAAATATTTCTAAACATTCCCTTAAGCAGGTGATGCTAAAGCAGATGATATATATGAAAAGCTCTCTTTTGTGAGAACAGTAAGAACTGGTCTTACTGCAATTATTCTTTTTTTTAAAATTCTTTTTAAACTACCCTTTAGGTCAGACACTTGACTTACTGTAAATTTCACACAAGTCATCTATTACATAGGAGAAAAGCTGTGGATTTTAACTTTGTTCAGTATTTTAGATAGATCTTGTGTATAAATTTGTATTAAGGATTGTAGTGAAGTAGGACAAAGAAAGACTCATCAGACAGGAAGTAATTCAGCCAATGGCCTGTATAGCTCAGTTTAAAACTCATCATTTTCTGCTGTTGGAGAGTCAATAACAGCTGGCTGAAACGCTCCATGTTTTTTAGACAGACCATTTGCAGAGGGAACAGTGAATGCTCTTTATACCCTACCTACTGAGAAGGGAAGCAAATGAAATACAAATGTCTCTTGGCAATATCCACTAACTTGGGCTAGTCACTTTTCCAGCTTTTTGTCTGCATTTCCCTTCATATCTTTAAGCCGTGTAAATTCTTTGGGTGACTCAGTGCAGGTGGAAAACCAAGAAAATAGATCATTCCTATTTTGAACTTAAATCTCAGCTGAAT